GCTTAATTCTTTTTAAATAGTATTCTTGCGAGCGTTAAGTTTTAACTAGCGGTTTTTTTTTTTATCTTTTCATTTCTTTTTATTTCTTTTTTATTAAAGCTTAATTATAATTATATCTTTTAACACTTTTAAGCTCTTTTTACTTAAGTTGACTATTACGAACAACCTTTTTATATATAGACTTCAATGTCGGTATATTTATATCGACCTTAGCTAGCTAGTAGTATTTAAAAGAGTTCACGGGCCACTTAACATGCCTCGCTTAGCATATCACACTAGTCAAAGGATTCTTAACTTAATTAGTAAACTTATTAGTTAGCTAGTGCGCGTGATTCTTTTTAATCATATAGAAAGAATCAGTTCCTTTGAATTTTAAAGAGCAATTAGAATTCAAATACTTTTACAATCGAGTGTTTTGCAATTGCAAGTACTTTAACGATCGTTACGAAGTTACGAATATATTTTTTAATCGCTTAAAAGGAATCTAACACTTAGTTTTTTTCAACTTTTACTTTCGATAATTATTAATTTCAAATTCAAATAATGATTTTATAATCTTCTTAAGCTTTATATGATCCTTTCGCTTTTTTATAAATTTTTTAAATAATCGCTCAAAGTCGTTATAACAAGTATCTACTTAAATTTATTAAGGTTTAATTAGTATACAAGGATAAGGTGCTTATAGAAATCTTAATTTAAATATAATCTTTGCAGCTTTCTTTTCGGCTGCTGCTATACGGTAAATAAAATTAATATAATTTGATAAATATTAAAAATAAAAGCATTTAATTAAAAATTTATTATATAAAACGATAAAACACTTTATAATCGTATTAGCTTATAATTATATCTACAAGCTCGAATATCTATTATAGCTGAAGAATAGATAAAAGAAATTTATATTTTAACGGACGCTTGCCGATTTATTTGTAAGTGCCGTTTTATTATCTATATATTAATTAAGTTATTAATTTATTAAAGATTGCAAACCAATCAAACTCGATCTTTACCGAAGTAGATAATAAAACTTATTATTCCTTTTTTATTAAACGAACGAACGGTCGAAACGCTCGGTATGCAATAAAAATATTAGACGAAGAAGGGCGTAATCGTAGCTAGTTAATTAGAATAGACGAATATCGAGTTAAGCGGTTTTTAAATAACGGTTATAAAATTAAGCTATCTATTGAATAGATTAGTAAAAACGAACATAACGACGGATATTATAGAATTAGTATTGTTAACGAGTAAAAGACTTTTTATATACAAAAAAGAAGTATCGTAAGAAAAGAAAATAATAAATTCGATAGCTTGCGAAAGCCTTTTGAATTTCATTATTATAAATTAATAGATGAGTTTATATAAATAGTTTTAAAATCGTTATTATATTAAATAAAATATATATATAATTAACTTTAAATATAATTCATAAATCTAAATATTAAAATAATTTATTAATATATTTATATCGATTTTAAATACAGCAAGTCGGTTAATTCTTTTGATTTAAAACTTTAAGATATAACGACCTTAAGCGATTACTTAAAAGAACTCACGAAAGCGCGGAGGTTTATATAAGAGCTTAAGAGAATCTTAAAGTAATGATTTAAAATCAATAATTACTGAGTGTAAAGGTCGAAAGTAGCTAAGGTTTATATATACGAAAGTAAAAGCGCTAAAGACTCGTGAACCATAGTTTATAAGTCAAAAGCAGAGAATAAAAAAATACGAAAAATACGAAAGAAAAAATGAAGGAAGTAGCTTAGCGCATATAAGGTGCGTCTAAGAGACTTAGCGTATCGTTACATAAGAAACCGACGATTAGTAAATGTGATTAGTAAATATGATTAATAAATATAATCAGTAAATATAATTAGTAAATATGATTAGTAAATATAATTAATAAATATAATTAATAAATATGATTAGCAAATATAATAAGTAAATATAATTAATAAGTATTATTAATAAATATAATTAATAAATAAAATAAATAAAAGTATTTTTATAAAATACAAAATTTATAATTAATCGTGAATTCTATTTTATATAAACTTAAGCATTGAGTTTAAGAATAATCTTAATTCCGTATCGTTATTCTTAACGCTATAAAACAACTCCGGAGCTGGCTCGTCTTTTTTCCAAATCAATTGCATAACGCGTTGAAATAAAATAAGATCGCAATCAGCTTCTTTAAATTCAGCATTCTTTTCGAATCTTTTTATATTTTATTAAGCGGCTAGACTCGGCAATTCGTATTCAATCTTATCGGTATTTGCTTTAATTTTAGCTCGCTAATACTTTTTTTCATTAAGAGAAAAGTAAACGTAAAGAAGCTTGATTAGATAAAAATTAAAAGTTATAATATTAGTTTAGTTGATTAAAAGTATAATAAAATGAATTCTTACTTAGTTCGTTTTGAAACCGTGCTTGCTAAGTCTTAAGCTATTAATTTAAAGAAAGCTTTTTTATTCTTTAAATTAACAGCTCGGCACTTCTTTGTCAAAGACCGCGCTACACTTTGCTAGTAGCGACGAAATTGCTAAACGGTTATTATATAGCGTGACTTTATATTATTAGCAAAATATAAATATTTAAATGAAATAAATGCTTACTTATGCGTGCTAACGTGTTAATTGCCGAGTGACCTTCTTTATCTTTTTATCGGTAATCGAGACGTATCTATCGCGAAGTATATCATTATTTTCTTTTTCGTCTTTTCGTAAATTAAATTCTTTATAAACCTTTTCGTTTAAATTGAATGCTTTATTAACTTAATCGCTATTCAAGTATTTTTTATCATTGAATCTAATTGTAAAAAAAGCGGCTTGCATAGCAAGATTATCCGCGTAAATGCTTCGATTCTTTTTAAAATCGATTAGTAAATTGCTTAATAAATTAAAGAAAAGAAAAAGTACCGTTCATCTATAAGATTCTTTCGCATTTCGGCTTATCGAGTTTTCCTTTTAGCTTTTAATGCTTAAGAATATTCTAAAGTTTGTTTTTAAATTATAAAAAGCTGATTAGCGGCCGCTTGATCTCGTCCTTTAGCTTTTCGAAGCTCATCTGCTTAAGGATCTTGTTTTAGCTTTGCTATACGAGCATTAGCCTTTATCGTATAAGGATTGTGTCGGTATATCCATATCGACCTTAGCTAGCTAGTAGTAGTAGTTGAGGAAGCTCACCCATGAACCATGGTTCACGGGCCACTTGACATGCCTCGCTTAGCATGTCAGCAGTCAAAGGACCCCCAACTTGACAAGTAAGCTTATTAGTTAGCTAGTGCACGTGATTCCTTCTAGTCCTATAGAAGGAATCAGCTCTCCTGAATCTTAGGGAGCAGACAGAATTCAAATACCTTATCAACCGAGTGTTTTGCAATTGCAAGTACTTTAACGACCGTTACGACCTTACGAATATATATTCCTAATCGCTTAAAAGCAATCCAACATTGATCAGTGGTTGATTTACTACTAAGTGATCAATCACAGAGAAGTTAAGAATACTTTATAGCGAAGATACCTTTCACTACGATACCTCCCTCCTTCTATAACGGAAGAGCGATTCCGTACTAAGTCGCTTTCTTACACCCCGATACCTTTACCTTACAACGGAAAAGCGATTCCGTACTAAGTCGCTTCTTATACTACCGATTTTCCTTCATTCTTACGGAAGAGTGATTCCGAACCAAGTCACTTTTATACAACCTTCAAAGCTGTAAAGCCGCGCTTGCTACACACAGCAAACCTAACTAACACGATCGATCTACGTACGAGCAGACAACAACTATAGCCGATCGAGCAACTGGACCTTTAAGTGAGGAGTCCAGCCGACAAAGAGCAGTAAGGTATTATACCTTTCGAGTCTCATCACCACCTACGGAACCCTTAGCTATTCAGCTAAAAGGACTACTATACCTAAGACTCTTAAGCCTCTCGAAAGGACCAGACGACGAGATGTCGAGCATCTCATTTGACTTAAACGAGCTACTATACGCAAAGCTAGACAGTGAAATCACGGCCCGAGCGATAGTGAACGACTTCTTAGATGCGAAGTGTAAAAGGCTAAAGGATTACGACTTGTAGAGCTTATTCCGGCACGCTTTCTTACGCTAAGATTAGACTAGTTTTACAATGACGAAGGACAATACGAGACGAGGCCTTAAGTTTGCTACTCTTATTAGCCTTAAGGAACACTTGCTGTCTAAAGGCGTGTGGTGCCCCCTAAAGCAAAAGGGCTACGCTAATAGGATGGTCAAGCTCTTAAACGACGAGCAGCAATACCAATGGACTTTCTAGGAAATAAAAGAGCAACAGGCAACACCTTTAAGCTTCGATTCAAAGTGGACCGAAAACCTTACGGACGACGAGGATAATACGCTTCAACCACCTCCACCACCCTTACGAAGTCCAAAAGGGAAGGAAAAGGAAGAAGAGGAAGAGATTCGGAAGTTACGCGAAGAGTTTGCGAAAGAGAGGAGAGATATAGAGCAAAATATAAAGGTGATAGCAAAGCAAATGGCGGAATTACGGACCTACGCTATACAATCCAATAAAGAGCTACGACGAAGCACTTTAGCGTACTCGACGCCTTCAATTTATCAATCGCTACGCAATACGCCAATCATACAAGAGCCAAAATCACCTTAACGGCCTTCAAACCCCTTTCTTAAAAGCTACATCTAGTTTTCTGAAAAGCCTAGACCGAGTAGCAACAAAAATAGTCTTAAGATTATCATCGGACTAGACAACACTCGAGGCTACGGGAGCTACACGCTAAAAGAGGACCCGCTAAAACTTGAAAGCATTCCGGACAAAATCAGCTCTCGCTAAGGACAACGTGCAGATTTCCGTGCCCAACTTAAGCAACTCGAAAGGGGAATTCAGCAACCCGAGGGGGGGATCTAGCACCCTCGGACGTACCGACAAGCTCCTCAGATCCTTTAACAGGCCACGTATCGACAAGAAGGATACTAAAGGTATAAGAATCGCTAAGAACGCGCCCAAGGGTACGGATATCACCAAGCTGGAGCCCCGGCTAGTGACCCAAATAGCCTTAGCGATCTTGACGATGACCGACGAAAGGGAAACGAAAGAGATTAGCAAGGAGATCGAGGCTACGGATACGGAAAGGGTAAGAACGGGCCCCTTGGACTACCAAAGGGATTCGGAAACGGACCTTTAAAGGACCCCGGATTCGGAAATGAGCCTCTTAAGGACTCTAGAAGAGGACGGACCACCGGCAACTATATCGGTAACCCTTTACCGATCAGATTATTAGCTAAGCACAACACGCTTGCGTACGGCACTCTAAGCGCCTTTGACGATGATGATGACGATTTCCTTGAGCTAAGAGCAACTGACCTTTACTTAAGAGCAAAGGAGTTGGCCTTGTTTGCAAGAAGCTTTCTTAAGGAACTAAAGTATTCGGGACCCGACGATGACTTCAAGACCCAATTAAGTATTTTCGCTAACTAAGCAAGTCGATACGGCCTAACATCCGACGACTATTTGGCAGCGTTCTTAATTATGCTTACGGGAAAGGCTATAACCTTCTATTACAATCATATGATAAAGGCCAAGCTTCCGACGTTTAAAGCAAACGCTATTGCTATAAAGGACCACTTCGAGACTGACCACCGGCGGCAAGCAAAATACGACCGCTAAGAGGAAATTTCGTTAGATTTAGTCAAGAAAGAGAATCTAAGGACCTCGCTTAGCGAGTGCTTTAAGAAGCTCGCTAAAGAGCTTAAGGGCATTTAAGGCTCTTTACGACCAGGTTTAAGGGACGATCGAAGTCTTGTTAACAAGCTGTATTCAGCTTGTAAAAACGTGCTAAAGACTACGATTGCACGAATGAACCTTGCGTTTACCTTCACCGCCGCAGTTGCCGACATCCGCCGAGCAATTGCATTTGCAACTGAGTCCTCCCGACCCGCTAAGGCTAGAGCTTACGCGAGCTTTAGCGAGCTACACGACCATACCTGCTCTTAGCATAACACCTTAAAGGCTGACTCCGATTTGGACGAGGAATACGAATGCTTTATTTAAGACCGCTAATACTTCGGAGGTAAGAAAGCTGCCAAGGCTACTAAGGGTAAGAAAAGGTGTTTTGTTTACAAAAAGCCAAGTTGCTAAAGCACCAACCACACCCTCGACGAAAGAAAAGCATCTATTGCTAAGTTCCAGGCCTTTAAGGACGCAAAAAGGGTGACGAGAAGCAAATTCTTTTAATACGTAGCATCGATTAAGGGCTTGCTACTTGTATCTACGAAAGAATTCGATCAGTTTATCGCAGGCCTACTAGACGAGCCGCCCGAATCGAGCAGCCACGCCAATATATCAAAAGGTTTTGTAACTACCTACGGCACCTTTGACGCTGACGAAGTATACAAGCAACTAGAGATTCAGACGGCATTCCACGCCCTTACCAGCCAAATCGAGACCCAAAACGTACCTACGGGCAAAGTAGAGACCTATATGGCCTCCAAGTACTCTGAAAACGTATTCATAGGCCTTATGATTAATAGCGGAGCAGCCAATTTCTTTACCGCTAGCTTGCCCTAGCTACGAGCACTCCAAAAGAAGTACCTCGAAGTCCAATTAAATACATCTCGGGCAAAGGAAAAGTCCGTTAAATACGGGATTGGCTCTGCCACCTCTATTAAAGCAGTTACTTTAGAAACGCCTTTAGGTCAGGTGGAGTTCTACGTTATAAAGAGCGACGTACCCTTCTTATTTTCGTTAGCTGACATAGACAAGCACAAAGTGATCTTAGATAACTTGCGGAACGTGCTAATCCAAGGGAAAAAGGAGATACTAGTAGTAAAGATGTTTAGGCACGTATAGATGCTACTAAGTAAAGAGCACGCTGCTACCTACTATAGCACCGAGAGCGAGACCGTTTACTGTCACCTCACGGAAGAACAATTAAGGACTATCTATAAGCGTTTTGGCCACCCTTTAGCAAGTCGATTTGCTATTGTTCTTAAAAGGGCCGGGCACGAATTCAGACGGGATTTGCTTTATAACATCCAAAAGTTTTGCTATTATTGCTAAGTATTCGAACGCTCTCCGGAGAAGTTTAGTATTAAACTTAAAGATGATACTGACTTTAATGACACGGTATACGTCGATGTAATGCACTTTAACGGCAAGAACGTATTGCACGTCGTTTGCGACTCTACTAATTTTCAAGCCGCCACCTTTCTTAAAAGCATGTCCGCATAGCACTTACTTAAGGGATTCAATCGATGTTGGGTCAATACTTACGTCGGACCCTTTACAAACGTAATGCACGATCCCGAAACCAACTTCAATTTAGCAACGTTCCGAGGCTACCTTAAGGGTATTAGCAGCACTTTAAAGCAAATGCTTATAAAGGCTTATCATAGCGTCGGGCTAATGGAACGCTACTACGTCCTTGTGCGACGCGCCTTTAAGATCGTCATAAAAGAGCTTCTAAAGGCCTTAAAAGAGGACCGGCTTTAAATAGCTATCAAAGCTATCAACGATACAGCTGGACTTAATAGCCTGGTTCCTACACTCTTCGTTTTTAAGACCTTACCAAGGCTGACGGAACAAGATCGACTTGCCGCGTCTACCCAAGAGCGTACTGCTGCTATTAACAAGGCTATGAAAGAAGTACGAAAATGCCACGCTGCAAGGCAGGTTAAGGACGCGCTTAAGAAGAAGAATAGGCCAATTACGGAGTATACTCTAGACCTCTTTATTAGTTCACGGGTACTCGTGTAGCGGGAAAACCAAAGGTGGAAAGGCTCTTTTCAGCTGCTTAGCAAGCAAAAGCACACGTACACAATGGCATGTCCGAGGCCTACGGAATTCAAGTCAACCTTAGTAAAACCTTACTACTCTGAAGTTGAAAAGCTGCTAGAGGAGTTGCAAGTACTTAAAGTAAAAGTAGAAGAAGATCAAAGTAAAAGCGACGAAAGCGAAAAAGAGCTGGAACTACGAAATTCGCTTAAACCTTAATATTCGCTTAATCTACCGAAGTCGCTTAATCTAAGAAGCTCGCCAAGATCAGCAAACGACCCCCTTCAACTTATCAATTCCTAAAGATCAATAATACTAATAGTCTAGATACCTTACTAGAAGTACGATCCTAGTATCCCGACCGTGCTCGACGAAGAGGAGGGCGATTCTTACGTTTTATTTACCAAAGACTCCGAAGTGCTGGTTACCGACAAAGAACGCCGGGACTATAAGCTCTTAGCCAAGCTACGAGCCGAGGGAATCATCAAGAGCCTTAGGGCACTATTTCAAAAGTCTAGAGCAAAAGAATTAGCTGGATTGATAGCTTAAAGCATCTTCTAAGTGATCCCGGGCATCGATCCACGTGCTAAAGGCGCCAAGATCTTTAGATCTAGGTTTGTTAACGAGATCAAGGGCAAAAGAACACCTACGCTATACGAGAAGTCTCGTATGATGGTCTAAGCCTTTTAAGACAAGGGCAAGACGAGGGTACTCACCGAGTCTCTTACGGTACAACGAGCGGGCTAAAGACTTTATTGCGCTCTGGCTCCCTCTTTAATAAAAGACTACGGGTGCTAGGTCTGTAGTAAGGATATCACATAAGCTTACACTCAGTCAAGCACGAAGCTTATACGAATAATCGTCGTGCGACCACTTAAAGAAATCACTTATCGATTCCCCCTCGGCACTTTGTTCCTTATGACTGGCCTTTTATACGGCATCCCTGAGGCAGGAACGCATTAGTATAAGCGTTTTTCAAGGCATTTCACGGACAACCTCGAGATAAAGCAATCGAGCTTTGATTCTTGCCTCTTTATGTCAACCAATAAAGATCAGCTAAGAATAGCTGCTTTACAGACGGACGATGTTCTCATAATTGTCAATCCAGCTATAAAAGCAAAAGAAGAGAAAGAGCTGGTCAAATCCAAGCTAAGGAGCAAGGAAATAGAGACCTTTACATACGCCGAACCGATGATTTTCAATAGATGCAAACTATCTTTAGATAAAGACGGGTTCGGGCTGTTAGTTGGGCAAAAAAGGCAAGGTGAAAGGCTTGTCGTAATCAAGCTTGATTCAGCCACACGAGCTAAAGAGTACTTAAAGCAACGTGCCTGAAGGGCGTATTTAGCTACTATTTGCTACCCAAAGGCATCTTGCGCTCTATCGATGGCTGCCCAGCACTAAGAACTAAAGGACGAAGACTACAAGGCCCTTAATAAGGTGATCTAGTAGCTGATCGATCACCCAACTCGAAGGATCTACTACGTGCTTTTAGACTTAAAGACGGCGAAGCTCTTTATGTTCGTAGATAGAGCGTTTGCTAACAACGCTAACCTTAGCTCTTAGATCGGTTTCGTAGCTATCTTTAGCAATAAGGCTTACGTAAATGAGAACGAGTTCATTCTGACGGGTAACATCCTCTATTAGGTGTTACAGAAGTGCAAGAGAGTGACAAAGGCAGTATTAGCTTCTAAGCTATACGCTATGTCCTTAGGTATCGACATGGCTATTGCTATGTCGACCACCTTTGCTTAAATCACAGCCCAGCTAAGAATCCTTAATTTCCTCGTAGTGGTGTGCATTAACTCTTACTCGCTCTACGAGTGCATGATAAAGCTGAGAACTATTAAAGAGAAGCGCTTTATGATCGATATTATGGCTATTCGGGAGTCATACGAGAAGCGGGAGCTCTTTAAAGTACGCTAGATCGGAGGCAAATCCAACCCTGCTGACGCCATGACCAAAATCGAGGCTAATTCTTTTTTGCAAAAGCTAGTTTTAACCAATACCTTAAAGGTGCAAGTGGACGGGTAAGTAGAAAAGCCGCTGTAAAAGAGGGAAGGATGAGATTGTTTTTCTTTTGTTTGATTACCTTCCTTCCTTTTTCGGTCGATATAGTAGTTAGCAAAGCACTGCTTGCCAAAAAGAAAGTTGCCGGTGTCGGTATATTCATATCGACCTTAGCTAGCTAATAGTAGTAGTTAAGAAAGCTTACCTATGAACCATGGTTCACGGGCCACTTGGCATGCCTCGCTTAGCATGTCAGCAGTCAAGGGACCCCCAACTTGACAAGTAAGCTTATTAGTTAGCTAGTGCACGTGATTCCTTCTAGTCTTATAAAAGGAATCAGCTCCCCTGAATCTTGAGGAGCAGACAGAATTCAAATACCTTATCAACCGAGTGTTTTGCAATTGCAAGTACTTTGACGACCGTTACGACCTTACGAATATATATTCCCAATCGCTTAGAAGCAATCCAACAGATTGATTGATAATTGGCTTCTTTTTGGCCTTCTTTTTTAAAAAAAATTAATAAATTAATAAAAGTTAAAATACTACGTAAAAAAGATATTTACTTTGCGCTTGCCAAGGTTTCTTAACACCGGATTGCTTGCCGTCACGATTGCCGTCGTATCGGCCGCATTCTAAGAAAGACGTTTTTAATTAATAAATAGATTAATAAATAAAAAAATGATTTTTATTATAGATTTTTTAATCTCTTTTATCAAATTAAGCTGATTTGTATTTGCAATGATACCTTTTATCGAATCAAGCTGATAAGCGGCTATATTGAATAGTATTATAAGAAAGCTAAACGTTAAGAGTAATTATTTGAAGTAAAATCAAAGGTAATAGAATAAAAGTGTTAAGATTAAAAGTAAACTCGTACATTCTATTTCTAAAACATCTTAGCGCGGCCGCTAATGAATTCACGAAGTGATAAGGCAGCCGCAGCTAAGATAAAGCGGCCGCCTCGCGCAATTTTTATCTTACAAAGTAAAGTCTAATTCCTTTTTACTATTACTTAATAATCAATTACAACCATCGCTTTCCTATTTGCTACGCTTTTAAATACAACGCTATTCATTGCTTTATAAGGTCGTCCTTTTCTTGTTTAAAATTATTAATTTATTGATCGTAAACTAGATTATCGCGATCAAGTCCTTTTACTAATACTTTCAAATAGCTTTTCTACTAAACGAACCTTTGCTTTCGGACCGACCTCTTTCTACCGATATACTAAGCATTACGGTTAAAAGAGATAACGCAAGCTAAGATAAGTTAATTAATAAAGCAATTAAGAATTAAGCGATTAAGGATCAAGCGGCTGAAGGTCAAACGGTTAAGGGTTAAGCGGCTGAAGGTCAAGCGGCTAAAGGTCAAGCAGATAAGGACGAAGCACAAGAAAGTGAAGTAGATACAATACGCGGCGAAAGCGTAAAAAAAGAAAACTTAAATTTGCAAAGTAAACAAAGTAAGTTTATATTTAATTAATCGGAGTACTATTAATACTTTTTCAATTACTTTGCTTAGCGCAAATCCTTATCTTTAGTTTAGCAAAGCTTAATTAGCTACGGATGCGCTAGACTTTACTTTTGCTAAGCGCCGCGCTATTATAACTCGATAGCTATCCGGTTAGTATTTAATTAATAAATTGATTAGTAAATCAATTGCAAATAGCTAACAAGCATTTATAGAAATTCTTAAAACCTTGCGCGGTATTGCAAGTCTATAATAAAGAACCGATTTATCTTCGTCCCTTTCTCGCCGAATTTCTTAAGGTTAAGCTAATAA